GCCCTATAGCAAAAATCTCTCTTAAAAAAAAAAAAAAAAAAGGGCCAGCAGGTGGCATGGTGGTCAAAGCATTGGACACTCATACATGGCTGACCATGGTTTGAGTCCCAGACCTGGTGGCTTCCTTTCTCACTTTCCCTCTCTCTCACGCTCTCTCTGGTCAAATTAGAACAAATAAATAAATACATATTTTTAAAAAGAATTATTTAATTAATTTTATTTATTTTTCATTATTATTTTTTAAGTTGACCAGAGAGAGACAAAGAGAAAGAGGAAGGGAAAGTGAGAAGGCAAGCTGCAAGGTCTGAGATTCAAACCATGGTCAGCCATGTGGGAGTCCAGTGCCTTAACCATCATGCCACCTGTTGGCCCCTCTTCAATAGATTTTTTTAAAGAATTATTTTATTTAACTTTATTTATTTATTTTTATTTTGCCAGAGAGGGATGGGGGGTGGCAGTGAAAAAGCAAGCTGCCAGTTCCGGAACTTGAACTGCTATTGGCCATGTGGGAGTCCAGTGCCCTTAACTACCATGCCACCTGCCAGCCCTGAGATTTTGAGTGTCTACTCTTTGCTTGGTGCTGGAGGGAATGGTGGATGGGGATAAAAAAAAAAAAAAAAAAACGGGATTAGGAAAGACCCCAATACCCAGGAAGACAAACCCTGTGCGGATAAAGGGGAATTTGGTACTTGAGGACTCTGAATTCCCAGAGGGAGAAGGGAGTGATTCCTTTTAGTGAGTTTGGACTTGACCTGGGCTATGTCATCCAGACAGCTGGCCACACAGTAGCTTGGCCTGAGTCCTGCTCTGTTGAGTTAGATTTCTACATTGCAGTTTACAAAGTACCCTCACTCATGACAATATGCCAGTCCATACAGAGACTGGGCGAGGTATAGGGCCCAGCCAGAGCCTTCACAGTGACCTGGGTGGAACCAGAAGCCAGACCCATTGTTGGTCTAGACATCCTAGTGCCTTGGGGGCTGAGGCCTTTTTCTGCAGGTTGCTGCCGGAGGGTGACCAGCTCTTCTTCAAAGCAGTTCCCTCCTCCCCATCGCCATTGCTTTGTAGCAGAGGTCCCCTCCTGATCTCCCTGGGGGCTGTGCTCAGCTTGTAGGACTACCAGGATGGAGGGGCATGCTGACATGGAGATGCTGAAGACACTGAAGGGCCCTTCCACAGGGGAGGTCAGCGTGCACCTGGTGACCAGAGACAGCCCAGGTTCTGGTCCTCATCTACCGACAACTGCCTTCATTATTCCAGGTGGGTCAAACCAGGGGTCTGCGGAAGAGAAGCACCCCATATCTGCTCAGGCAAGGTGTGGATCCTGGGGAAGGGATGGCATTTTTCACTTTCCTACACCAGACTTCTTTCACCTGCCCACACGTGCATGGCAGGATTGAGGCAGGGCCGCCAGGCTCACCTGTGACGTGCATACCTGTTCACAGCCAGCTCAGCCACCCTTGGCTTGCCCAGCAGTGCCCTGGATGTGTCCTGCTTTCCTCGGGAGCCAATCCATGTGGGCGCCCCAGAGCAAGTGGCCAGCAGCGAACCAGTCACAACCACAGTTCTGCCACAGCTGAGCGCGGGGCAAGCAACCAGCGCTAGTGCCAGCACAGTGCGGCTTCTGGAGTGGACAGAGGCCACGGCACCGCCCTCGGGGGGCGGCCTGCGGGTCAGTGTCCATGGGGATTGGCTAGGCCCAGAGACCCGCTGCAGTGGGGCGGGACCTGGGGGCGGGGCCTGAGACGGAATGGGGAAGCTGGCAGGAAGGCTGGATTCTAGCGGTGGGGCATCAGGTGAGGAACTCTAGGAGCATGGCCTGGGCAGAAGCACTCCCAGGCCCTTAGGACTCTGGGGGCGAGCCTTTGAGGGAAGCACCCTAGAACTGGGCAAACAGGTGCCTGGGGGCGTGGCTTGGTGCAAGACACCCAGGGACGGGGTCTCAAGGCCTACAGGGGTACAGAGTGGTGTGAGCTGGCATGAAGTATTGGGCAGCCATACCAACTCCGAGGTGGGTCAAGGGTCGGTACAGGGGTCGCCGTCCTCAGACCCTCCCACGCTCCAGTTCCGGATAAGCGAGTTCGCACCACTGAACATGGTGGGAGTGGAGCAGACACCGAGCCCTGAGCTGCGGAGGGAAGGTGTGACAGAATACGAAGATGGCGGGGCCCCTGCGGGAGGTGGCAAGATGAGCACCGAACAGCCAGGTAGGAGTCCCATTTCCCAGCTCTGAGCTGGGGCCCTGCTCGGGTGGGAAAGCCCGAGTTGCCGAGGAACTTTGATCGGGGGCATGGTGGGGGTTGGTTCCTGCAGTTGCGCCAAGGGTTGGTCCTGCAGTAGAGAAGCCTGGGGGAGGCTCAGAGCGCAGAGATGGGACCACAGTGGAGGCAGGGCCTGAGGGCAGTGATGGGGTAGGAGGGCTGAGATCCCTTTGGCCCCCACAGAAGACCTCCCCCAGGACCCTCCAGAAGATCCTTCTCAGGACCCCCCAGAGGATGATAGCACCTGTCAGTGCCAGGCCTGCGGGCCTCAGCAAGGCTCTGGTCCAGAGCTTGGTTCCTCCAGTGGTGGCTGCCCACAGCTGTTCCAGGAGCGGTAAGGGGGAAGAGATCACAGTCCTACACACTCTGCCTTCAGCCCCCCAAGCCTGGTTCCTGTCCAGGGCAAGAGAGGGGCTGGGTGGTGCAGATGGCGGTTCTTTCTTTAAAGTTGCTGTTCCTCAGGTCAGTCATAGTGGAGAACTCAGGCTGCGCCGATGCTTCTGAACTCCTCAAACCCATGAAGAAGAGGAAGCGCAGGGAATACCAGAGCCCATCAGAGGAGGAGTCGGAGCCCGAGGCCACGGTAGGAAGAGGGAAGCTAAGCCTGCCTCACTGTGCCCCCTTCAATCCAGAGGCATTGGGGCTGGGCCAGGAGGACATCCATAATAATTCACTTTTTTTTTTTTTGAGAGAGGTTTTTGCTATAGCGTGCATGTGCTCACCAGAAAGAGAGAGACAGAGAGACAGAAAACCAGAAATCACCCCCCCCGGGGGGGGGATGACCTCGTGGCAATCCCTTCTCTAGTCTCCTCTTGGGATCTTTGGGCATGCACACACATGCGCCCGGCGTGAGTTTAAGCCCCCGGATCTGGGACTCAAACCACGGTCAAATATATGGGAATACACCAACTGCAGGTCCCCTCACTTGTCAATGGTTTTTTTTGAGAATTTTTTGCTATAGGGTGTGTGCGCTCGCCAGACAGACAGAGAGAGACAGAAAGTGAGAAATCAGCCCCCAGGGAGGATGGCCACGCCGCAATCCTTTCTCCTCCATTCTCCTCTCGGGATCTTGGGCACGCACACACATGCGCCCAGCGTGAGTTTTTTAAGCCACCGGGTCCAGGACACAAACTGCAGTCGACTACGTGGGAGTCCAGCGACATAGCCATTACGCTAACTGCTGGTCCCTCACTTGTCAATTTTTGAGGTCCAATCTTGAGTCAGGTTCCTAAACCTGGTTAGAAGGAAACGAATAAACCATTCTCACTCTTTAGAGCACCTCAGATTAGGGTCAGGGTTCAGATACGTACACATGAACTGGCACCCAAGATGAATGTGTGAGAAAGTGGAAAACTCCACTACTGGAGTCTGGTAGCTAGGCTCACCAGGAAGCACAGGGCTCTAACTATGGATGCTGGGAGGAACAGCATGCACATTCTGGAGAGGTAAAATCACACAGAGCGGGAGCATGTGCTTTGTGCCCCCATCTGGGAAGCAGGAGAGCTGCAGTGAGGCTGTGTAACTATGATGTGTGCACTCACTGGAGTCTGTGCCCAAGTAGTAGGGGTCACCTGCTGGAGCTGTGTTTCTGCTGGTGGCCTAGAAGAAATTCTTCCTGTGTGGAACAGAGCACCATGTGGCAAGAGTCAGGCAGGGGCCAGTTCAGAGGGCCCAGCCCACGAGGACAGGAAGCTGGGACCTGACTTGTCTTCTGCAGGAGAAGCAAGAGGAAGGAAAGGATCCAGAGGGACAGCCCACCGCTAGCACGCCAGAGAGCGAGGAGTGGAGCAGCAGCCAGCCTGGTATGGTGGCCTGTGTGTATATATTCCTGTGAGGTGTGTATATACCTTTGCAGGTGTGAGGATGGGAATGTGGGTTATGTTTGTGATGGTATTTTCGACATATGTAGTTGAGCACAGGTTAGTGTGTGTTAAAGGGGGAGAGATAGAGAGCGAGGGGCTGTTTTTTGGTTTGTGCATTAGTGTATGTGTGTTCTTGGGGGTTATCGCCTGTGCTTATTTATCCTCTAGTATCCATTTGTGAGTAGGCCACACTGCCAGGAGGCCTTGGCTCATATCTGAACATTTACACAGTCTTTCCTAGCACACATGCCATTGCTTCCCCTTGGTGGTACGGGCAAGCCCGCACTGGTCCTTGGTCTTATCTTCCCATTGGGCCCTTTGATTCTAGAAAAATGAAGCAGAGGTCATAGACACCTCCAGCCTTCAAGCCTCTCTTCCCACCTTCACATTCCCATATGACCACATTTATCACTTTTGTAATCACCTCGGTGCTGTGCAGCAATCTGGTGTCTGTCTTCCTCCCTCAAGAATTAGGTTCGGGAACCAGCAGTTAGCGTAATGGCTATGTCGCTGGACTCCCACGTAGCCACCCGCGGTTTGCGTCCCAGACCTGGTGGCTTAAAACTCAACGCCGGGCGCGTGTGCATGCGTGCCCAAGATCCCGAGAGGAGAATAGAGGAGAAGGGATTGCGGCGTGACCATCCCCCCTGGGGGGTGATTTCTCGCTTTCTGTCTCTCTGTCTCTCTCTGTCTGTCTGGCGAGCGCATGCACCCTATAGCGAAAACCTCTCCAAAAAAAGAATTAGGTTCCATCTGTGCAGGGACTGAATCTGTTATGAATCACGGGTGCTTAGGTTTGAACCTGGTGTGAAATAGGTTCTCAATAAATGTTCAGGAAATGAATGGATGAGTTGTATGTTGGTGCACTATATATGACTCAATTGTATGAGTTACCGTCTTTCCTATCCCAGAGAGAACCAGAAAGATGAGGTTGGTTCTTAGGACATCTTCCCACCTTGATGGATCCCATGCCAGCTGGAAGAGCTCCACCTATGTCCAGGGCTCAGAACTTGTCAGTACCTTTTCCAGCTTCTGCCCATCACAGCTGAACCAAATTGTCACTGCTGACTCTCACCCAGGGCTGTTAAATCAGAAGCCAAAGGCTTAGCTCTCTTTGGTTTAGGCCCCTTACGATTTTTTAAAAGAGGTTTTTGCTGTAGGATGCGTGTGCTCACCAGAAAGACAGAGACAGAAAGTGAGAAATCACCCCCCAGGGGGGATGACCACTCCACAATCCCTTCTCCATTCTCCTCTCAGGATCTTGGGCACACACACACACACACGCACCTGGCATGAGTTTAAGTCACTGGGTCCAGGACTCGAACCACACCGCAGTCGACTACATAGGAGTCCAACAACATAGCCATTACGCCAACTGCTGGTCCCATAATCCCCTTATGATTTATACAGAGCAAAGGGACAGGGTGTAACTACTAATGGGTCAGCTGCTCTATCTTCCTTAGGAAACTAGAGTAATAAATTGATATTCTTTTAGCTGGTTCTGTTGACCTGTACAAAGCTGTCTTTTGAGTTATACTTTTACCATCTCAACTATGAGCATGAGTGTGACATTGGTTTCTAGTATTTTCTCCTATGCTTTCTTTTTTCTTTCTTTCTTGAAACTCATTAGTAGACAGAAGTGTACATTTATGGCTAAAATGTTTTCCACTCATATTAGGGGTTTTCTGAGAGAAGGATCTGTGGGAAGGAATGGAGACAGTGGTATTGCTTGAATTTGCTGTGTATGTGGAGAATGTGTTTTGTTTGTTTGTTTAAGGTTTTTTGCTATAGGAAGTGTACATTCACGAAGGGGAAACAGAGAGAGGGAAAGTGAGAAATCATCCTCCCAGTGGAGATGGCCACTCTGTAGTCCCTTCTCCTCCATTCTCCTCCTGGGATTTTGGGCATGCATGCTCAGACGCCAGGCACGATTTTCAAGCTACTGGATCCAGGACTTGAACCATGGCCATCCATGTGGGAGTTCAGTGCCTTGACTACCATGCCACCTGCTGGCCCAAGAGTATGTTTTGTCTACATCCTTTCTGGTAGTTCGATAGCTAGCTATTGCATTCATGGTCCTCCATTAATTTTAGAATTAGAAACACATGGCCCATGTACACACGTAGGCCTTCTCTCTCATATATCCTTTACCTTTCAATGACATTTTGTATAAATGATTATTTTGACATACTATTTAAAAGTTGGGGTTTTTGGGAACCAGCAGTTAGCGTAATGGCTATGTCGCTGGACTCCCACGTAGTCGACCGCGGTTCGTGTCCCGGGCCCTGTGGCTTAAAACTCGCGCCGGGCGTGTGTGCGTGCGTGCCCAAGATCCCAAGAGGAGAATGGAGGAGAAGGGATTGCGGCGTGACCATCCCCCCTGGGGGGTGATTTCTCGCTTTCTGTCTCTAGGTCTCTCTCTGTCTGTCTGGCGAGCGCACGCGCCCTACAGTGAAAATCTCTCAAAAAAAAAAAAAAAAGTTGGGGTGTTTTTAAATTGCCAAAGGGCATATGCACTTACTAGAGAGATGACAAGACAGAGAGAGAAATAGGGGAGGGAGGGAGAAATCATTCCCCCAGTGGGATGTGGTCATACCACAATCGCATCTCTGTTTGTCCATCCTGTTGAGATTTGAGGCTCACACACACACACACACACACACACACACACAGAGTGTATTCTTCAAGTCACTGAGACCAGCTCCATAAAAGTCTTTACGATTTATTGAGTCACCAATAGCTGTTCTGGTTATTTTAACAGTTACTGATATCCTCCTGTCATCTCATCTGCCTCCATCGGGACTGAGTGTCTGCACTGTCACTCTTCACGACCAACTTGTTATCACGACCAACTTGTTATAACCCTTTTAGATTTGGAGCACCCTGTTCTATTTTCGTATAGTTGTTTTAGACAAACGTGACCGGATTATCCTTTTACCATTAATTCCTTGTATATTCTGCATACAAGTCCTTTGTCAGGTGTTTATTTACAAATATTTTCTCCCAATCTGTGTATTGCTTTTTCTTTTCCAAATGGTGTCTTTTGAGAAGCAGAAAGTCTTTATTTTGATGATATCCAATTTATCAGTTTTTTAACAGTGCATTATACAAGGAAACTGCAAAAAAGTTCACGGAAAATGGAATTCACCTATGAGTTTATTTTGATGTAAAATGTGTGCCTTCTTTTTTCATAGTGCTCATTTTCTGCGATTTTTTTTTTTTGAGAGATTTTTACTGTAGTGCACTTGTGCGAGATGGAGAGACAGAAAGTGAGAAATCATCTCCCCCAGGAGGGATGGCCATGTTCTTCTCTGGGGATTTTGGACCACACACACACCTGTCCAGCATGAGTTTTAAGCTACCAGCTCCAGGACTTGAACCATGATCAACTACATGGGAGTTTAGGAACATAACCATTACACTATCCCTTTTGTGAACTTTTTAGAGAGATTTTTGCCAGAGACAGAGACAGAAAGCAAGAAATCACCCCCCAGGGGGGATGTCCCATGCTGCAACCCCTGCTACTCCATTCACCTCTCAGGTTTTGAGCATGCACACACATGCACTTGGTGTGAGTTTTAAGGCTCCAGGTCTGGGACTTGAACCACAGTTGACTATGTGAGAGTATGTGAGAGTCCAGCAATATGCAAGGTTGTTTTTCTTTTTTGGGGGGGGGGCAGAGAGAGGTTTTTGCTACAGGGCATGTGCATTCACCAGAAAGACAGACAGAGAGAAAGAGACAGAAAGTGAGAAATCACCCCCCCGGGGGGACGGCCACACCACAATCCCTTTTCCTCTTGGGATCTTGGGCACACACTCACATGCACCCAGCATGAGTTTGAGCCACTGGATCCGGGACTCGTACCACAGTCGACTGTGGGAGTCCAGTGACATAGCCATTACACCAACTGCTGTTCCCTACAAGGTTGTTTTTCAAAGTGGCTATATCCCACCAGCAGTGTATGAGTATTCCACTTTATCCACATCCTCACCAAAGCTTGTTATTATCTGTCTTTTTAATTAGAGCCATGCCAGTGGGTGTGAAATGGATCTCAATGTGGTTTTCATTTGCCTTTCCCTGATGGCTAATGAGGTTGAGCATCTTTTCATGTGCTTCTTGGCCATTTCTATATTTTCTCTGGAGAAATATCTATTCAGATCCTTGCCCATTTTTAAATTGGGTGTAAGAAACAGATTTTATATTGAAATATAAGGAACACCATATGGAGTTAGGGAACAAGTTGAAAATATGAGTGTGTAATTCAGTACAGGATATGGATTAGTATGCCACTTACAGCAGCACTTTCTTCACTGAGGTCCCTAATCTAAGTTTATGTGCAAAATTCTATGAGCTGTTCATTTTTCTAGGGAGATAGTCCATGACTTTGATTACATTTTCAAAAGAGTCCATTTATACTTCCTAGCAACTAAAGGCAACTTTAATGGCCATCACTTAGTAACAATACACCCTGACTTTACGGAGCCCAGCCTATTCAGTTTGGTGTTCCCAGGCATAGCTCCCTGCAAGGCACATGTTAAATACAAGTACCAGACTGGATTAAACTTGTACTATCTAAAAATGAGCTGATTATGAATTGGCTGACCATATTCTGTAAGAGGTAGGTAAATGCAAGAAATATTGGGTTGTCAGAAAAGTCTAGACATATTTTTGTATAGAAAAAAAGAAAAATGTATCACGATTTTTCTGACAACCCAGCATCTGTAGCAAATTTAAAACAAAAAGACCCACCCATGGTAGCACCCTGTGACTGCTTATAATCAGTTCTTGCACCCCACACTCTATTCTTCTCTTTACATTTTCTGTCTTTCTGTAGACAGTGTAATGAAATGAGCTTGTGGATTATCTCCATTGAAGTGACTGAAGGAGGAAACTTCCAGAAGGAGTGAGAAGAAAGATAAGAAGGTGGGAGGGAAGTACT